CTAACCAGCTGCTGTGCTCCTGCTCAAAGCCATTGCTTCCCAACAAGTGCAAAAATGCTTGTAGTGTTGGGGTCCTTGAAAAGAGAGGGAAATGCTGGGCTGTTAATTAGTGGTGCACCCTGTTAATTGGCATGTTGCCACATTAGGCTGCAGAACTACTAGGTTTAATCTGTGTGGTTTTACTGAGGAGGAATATTCTGATTTCCCTCCAATTGACCTATCCACTGCTCAGTGTGTGATTAGTGCAGAACAAACTGGGTCAGCCGAGGCTGCTCAGAGGATTTTGAAACCAGCATTTGCAGTTCCAGCAGTTTGCAGAAACCAGCAAATGATGTTCAAACCATATGAGCAAACCAAGACTTCTAGGTGGAGCTCGTTTGTTTTTAGATGGAGTCAGAAAAATATATGAGCTTTTTGGCATCCACTGACTTGAAAAGGGGCTTATGCATCTCTTCCCCTTTGTACCACTCTATCCAACAAGAGGTTAATCATACCCTTACACCTTGTCTTGTAATCTGCACTAGGGCATTTGGCATGGTTGATCTATTTAGGCTTTTTAAGAATTTCCCTTGTAATACTTAAACTCCAGTTGTGCACCCGTGCTGTAATCTCTCCTTTGGGAGAATACTTTGGTGCTGTTGAAGTATTCTGCTTTGCAGAACAGAATTTTAATATTGTTTACCATGCTCTTAATCTTACCGCTGGCAGATGAAATGAGTTTCTTTAGCCCTCCCCCTGAGGAGCTGATGGAGCTTCATGGCCAGCAGACCCATGGCATTAGGTGGAGTTATCTCAGCTTTGCAAAAATCCGCTCATCTGTCTTCCTGGAAGGAGTAATTATTGGTGAGAGAATAAAATGATTTTGTTTTTGAAATTGCCTTTATAAAGAGGAATGGGCAGCCAGATCCACGGGGTAGTTGGGGAGGGTTGGTGAGTCTGGTCCTTGAGAAGCATTTGCAGCTGGGGAGAGTCCTGGTGGCTTGGATCAACCATTTGAGTGGAGGTTGGCAAGTCAGGGAGGAAGACTCAGGACATTCTCTGAGTGATGAAGCAGAGGCTGCTCTGTGCCTGGCTGCCATCTCCCAGCTTATTCCTGGTGTCTGCTTTTTCTTGTTATGATGGTGAGCTGTTATGGGCAGCATCAACCCTTTGCTGGGCTCTTGTCATCTGCCCCAGAGGGAGTCTTCTGGGCAGAAATGTAATTTTTTTAAGTAGTGTAAAGCAAAGGGCTGAAGGGACAGAATGAGCAACAAATAATATTTGTTTATTGGCTGTTACTAGCACCATATTAGGTCAAAATGAATAATTATCTGGGAGTTGTCAGGTGAGCTTGTTTAATTTCATGGGTCATGGTCTGTATTAATGCAGGACTATGTTCCTCAAGCCATAGGTGTGTGTTAACCCTTCCCTTTCCCTCCAACTGGTGGATATAGTTCCAAACAGTTACAAGAGCATCCTTTCTCTTCACATGTGTTTTTTTCCAAGACAGCCTTGGGTTTTGTGTCTCATTACAGGAAAAGCCCTGTAGTAGCTGCCCAGCTGCTGTCATGTCCCTCTCTGGAATGGTGATTTAGAGCTGAGCCAGCATGGAAACGGTTTCCATGCCTAAGGCAAGCCTGTTGGCAGCCACTGTGGAGAAGTAATGTGCCACTTCTGCTTGGAAGAGTTGTCAGTTTTCTACTTCAGTTGGGAAAAACAACCAACATTGGCTTAGGTATTAACTGGACTTTTGGAATCGTGCTGTAGTCTTTTGAAGGAAGCTGTTCGTGTTACTGGAGGAGATGAGCAGCAAGGACAGAGTGGTCCAGCTAATGAGCTTCATTCTGAAGGAAACTGAATGCTTAAAGTTCCAGAGGTCTGGGTAAGGATTGCTGAGAATGAGACAGTGAGGAAAGGGGGAAGCTGTAAAGGGGTATTCAGTAGAGCTCATGGATGTGGATTGCCCAAGGCTGGAACAAACAGCAGCACCTTGGTGTGCAGCTTGGCACCTTGGTGTGCGGCTTTGTGGTCCTGTCGAGGTCCTGTCATCCCCAGCCCACTCCTCTGGAGATGCTTGGTGTGCATCTGGGCCAGCTTTGACTGTTCCCAGAGCAGCTGGATCCATGCTGGTGCAGGGAATGGGTATAGGAGGGCATGGGAGGAGATCCAAAATCTGGAATTGGGCTGGTTTGCGTTGCTGGGGCAGAATGTGACAGAGCTGAGCACATGGGCAGAGCTGGGAAAGACAGAATTCCCTGTGCACAGGGAGTGTGTGAAGACTGAAGGAATAGGGTACCAAACACTCCAGCATTGCTGTGAAACAGTCATTTTCTATTGTGTGTGGATTAGCTGCCTAGCTGGAAAGAAGCCATCGCCTTTCTGCAGGAGTTCAGAGCCGGGTCAATGGAACAGGAATATATTCTTAGAGTGGTACAAAGAGCTGGGGAAAAAGCTGTAGAGTGTTTGAAGTCTCGAGGCAGACAAAGACCGTGGTTCTGCTGCTGTGGTGGCCAGAGTACCAGAGGGGCAGGGGAGAGTCCCGAGCTCTGCTGGCAACAGGGCTCTCAGGAACAGGAATTTCACACAGCTGTCAGGCCCAGGGAATGTAGGGCACTCAGAGGACATGAATATTCAGAGGAGCTGTGGCATGTCGTGCTAGAGGAAATGAAAAAGCCAAGTTTTCTCAGAAGTAGGTATCTGGGAAACCTGTGACAGTCGGGGATAAAAGCAAATTTCTTTTCTGTGGAGTGGGTTATCTCAAATGTTATTCCAGAATCCAGCTTTCCAATTAGCCACTCGTAGTTAGTGCTGGCAGCAGGATCTGCACTGCTTAATCCATTTCTTTGGTGAGAAGTGCCTGTTCTTAGTGCAGGCAATGCTGCAGGAGTGAGGACTTTGCTCCTTCTTCCTCTACCCTGGCATCACTTTTCTTTCCCGTGTGCCTTTGTGCTTGTTCTGTTGCTAACCAGATCCTGCGGATTTAGTGTTGTGCTCAGAAGATCCTCCCAGCCCAGGCTGAGGTGCTCCCAGCTGCGCTGTCAGGCGGTGACAGATGTCTCGGGTGTGCACAGTGAGTGTCCAGCAGTGCTGGCTGCCAGGATTGGTGTTCCAGGCACAAACGTGCCCCTTGTAGTGCAGAGCTCAGCACAGCCTGTGCAGCAGTGCCCTTGGAGGGCAAGTGAAACCCATCTCCCTGGGAGCAGTGGGAGCGCTGCTGTCGTTTGTGCTGAGGTTCAAGTAGGCCTTGGGGTGGCAGTTTCAGTTTCCCTTCTGCTTTCCTCTCCCAGAAGGGCGTGCTGGAAAGGGCAGGCAGGGATGGTGGTGGCTCTTCTGCTTTCCGTGGGGGAGCATTCCTCCAGGAGACTGGAGCAGATGAGGGTCAGGCTCTGCACCTAGGGAGTAAGGCACAGCAAAAGAGAAAACAGCCTCAAGTTGTGTCAGGGAGTTCTGGGTTGGATATCAGGGAAAATTTATTCCCAAAAGGATTGTCAAGCCGTGGCACAGGCTGCTCAGAGCAGTGTTGGAGTCACCATTCCTGGAAGTGTTCAAAAACGTGTGGGTGTGGCACTTGAGGACAGGGGTTAATGGTTGGACTCAATCATCTTGGAGGGCTTTTCCAGCCTAAATTACTCTGCAGTTCATTCATTCCAGTTCTTGCAAATGGTGTCCTTGATGCAGCACGTGGATGCACCAAACCATGCATCCAAATGCATGTGAAAGCTGTATTTTAAGTGTTAATGGATTAGACTGTAGGGATTGAGGGTGTTTCCTGAGCAGCTTGTCTGCCTCTGAAATCAGAACCCTCTGATGTTCTTGATCCACTGTTAGCTGCCCAGAAGCTGTTTAAAGCTGTGATCCCCAATTATGTTTTGAGGGTTTAATGGCTTTGTTGAGGTGTTTCCCCCTTCCATTCCAAGAACATCACTGCATTGGAATTTGAGCTTCATCAGAGAGAAGTAGCCTGGAGCATGTGGTCTGATCCAAAGAAGCATTTTTCCCCACACAGCTGAGCAAAGCAAAGCTGAAAAGCCCCACTGCAGAGCTTGCATGGATGGTGACATTGCAGCTGACAATGCAGCCCTGGGATGCTCCAGTGCTCCTGAACAAGCTGAGCACATGCTGCACAGTCAGCAAGTTGTCACGTGGAGATGATGAACTGATCTGATGTTAAACTAAAGCCACCAAACTGTGCTTTGCTGCTGGGACCAAAAGTGATGAGCTGGCCTGGGATTCGTGAGGAAAACGTTAGGCTGAAGTGGGCTGTGGATAAAGGCTGGCTTTGACTCCTTCGCACTGGAACAACCTTATTTTGTAGCTCTTCCCCAGTCACCCCATGCTGTTCCTGCTGACATGTCCAGTTGTGATTGTCTAAGTTTGAACTGCAAGATTTTGAGGACAGAACCTCCCTTTTTCCAAAATAGTGAGCCTGTTTTTACTGTGCTGCAGAATCTGTAAAAATCAAGACACATCGTGATTTCCCCAAACTTAGTTCCCCTGGCATCTCATTTCAGAACTTTCCCCAGGAAAAAAAAGGCTTTTCTACTAAAATCCTGGTTCCTTTTTTTTTTTTTTTTTGTGTTCTCCCCACCCCAGTATGTTCAGAAGTGCCTTGATGCTGTGTGACATCTGAAATACTTCCTGTGCATGTGCTTGCTGTGCTGCCTTTGCTAGATAAGCAGTAGGCTGTTCCTTTTTACAGCAGGCACATCCCTTCCTGAAGAGGCAGATTTGGAATGTTTTCCCTGGGAACAAATATTGCTGCCTTGTAATTATGTCACCTTAATTTTGTTTCTCTTTTCTTTCCATCACAGCACGTGTGTGATTAGAAGCTTTTGATGCCTTCAAAGAGGGGTGACAATGTCACACTCTTCCTAGTTTGGGGCAGGATTTCTGCTCTAGGTTCCCTCCACACTGGTTTTGTGTAGGCTGAGCAGAGCTGATAGAGAAATAAAACTAAATCTGAGCTTAGTTCACACTTGGAATTTTAATTTGTGTGGTGACTTTGTTTCCTGTTTTTGTAGGAATTTCTCTGGACCCTAGTGTACAAGAGGAATGGAAGAGAACGCTGGTGAGTATGGTCTTAGAGCTCTTACCACAGATTATGGACCTGGCCTGTCCTCCTTGGTTTAGCATCATAAAGAGCCTGATTACTTTAAACTTGGTGTCTTCATTTCAAGTGTAGAAGGTGACTAGAAAATAATGTAGTTTGGCAGATGCATCAGCTGCATTTGTACTGTGGTGTGGACCAGATCTGACTGAAGCTCTGTACATATGGAAGATCTTTTTTGGAATCTCCCATCTCTGAAACCTGGAATACTGGTCTCTTGGCTATCCCAAGTTCTTGAAAACAGGCAACATCCCCTTTCTTAATAAGGAAGAGGCCAGAAGCAATGAGCTGATTTGAACAAGGCACAGGGAAAGGCATAAAGGAGGATCGGCTTCTGGTTGTTCCCATTCTGTATTTATTCCTTTAGGCTGTTCTGTGTTGCAGAAGATACAGGATATTTAATTTTTTTTTAAATTAAAATTTAAATCTCCTGCTTTAGGCAGTGTGTAGTGCTTGCCCTGAAGCAATCAAATTCATTACTGGTAGGTTTAACTGATGCAAGGATATGGTTGTAGCTAAAACTCACAGATTTTTTGCTTGGAGATTGCCTTGAAGAGCTCTTCCATCTGTTTGCCTAAAATGGCTACAGGAAAGGAGTTAAATGCCCATTTTTTCACTGCCATTGACATGAGATTTGCATGAAAGCTCTTGCCTGCACTGTGGGAAGCCAGTATCCATGCAGCATATTGGCCTCACATCTTCTGGACTGTGATACTGCAGTTGGTGATTCTAACTTGTAAATAATATTTCTAGGTTATTCTGTGCAGTCAGGTGATGCTATCCTGAAAGCTTTGGGAATGGTTGTACTTGTCAGCAGGGCAGAATGCTTGGTGAGGCAGATGAAGGCCAGGTTTTGGCTTCATACTTCATACAGGGCTGGTGTGTTGGAGCCCAGTGGCCTGGTTAAATCATCTGCAAGCCAAGAGCTCCTGCATAAAAGTATATTGTGCTTGTAGTCCTGGTGGCAAGAACTGCTGTGCCCCCTCTTTGTCAGGCTGTAAGGTGCACATTTAATCTCTGGTTATTGCTTTCCCTTCTGATTTGCTCGTGGCAAACTGATTCCAGAAGATGAGTTGTGGAGGAGGTGGAAGGTGAAATGAGTGTGGCACTGGCAGCTGGGGCTGGAGCAGTGCCTGTGGAGGTGGCAGCTCCTAGTGAGCCCTGGGACACAGCAGAGCAGGGCCATTGTTCAGTCTCTAGAGCTTTGATTGCTGGGGTGGCTTTGAGCAACATCTGGGCCAGGTTGGATGAGGCTCTGAGCAGCCTGGTCTAGTGGAACAAGATATTCAAGGTGCCTCTCATCCCCAGCCATTCTGTGGTCAGTGAGCTCTTCTCATTCACCAGGACTTGGCCTGTGCTGGGACTGCCACCAGCCACCTCTGTTCCCATCACAAAGCTTTCTGTCCCTTTCACAGGCAGTTGAACCCCATTTTTTGGCTAGATCAGTGAGATCTAGCCAAACCTCAGAGCTGGAGCCTTCTGAGGTTTCTGAGTGTTTTGATGAGTGCTGGTGGCCTGGGATGTGGAAAGCCATATGTTCTGTTTGTATTTTGCCAACTTTACTGAAGTTACTTCCCCTTTCCCTCTGAACAACTTGAGCAGTGCCAGTTTAGGATGGAGGATCTGTCCTGAATCTCTGCATGCACAGACACCACCCATGGTTGGTCACGAAGCTTTACCTCCTTAGTGCTGGAAGCCAAGAGCCCTGTATTAAAGACAGAGTAAATAGATGGATCTTTAAATAATTTCCTTGAAATTCCTTTGCTTTTATGGATATCCATTCTCCAAGTGCTAAGCTCAGGACTGTTGGGTTGATCCCGGAGATGAGGTAAGATGGAGCTGTGCTGAAGTCCAAGTCGGTGCCCTTTGTTCCCTTCAAGCCTGGTGCTTTGTATGCATTGCTGTCCCTCCTGGTTGGATATTAACTGCACTCACAATGCTGCATGGCTGGCGCTTGTTTGAGCTGGTGTGCTTGGAATGGCCACTGGGAATGCACAGGGAAGCGTAAATCCTTCTGAGCTGTCAGTCTTCACCAGCCATGGGTGGGTGGGGGAGCCTTCCTTGGCTGGCTGCCCTGGCTAATTAAAAATGAAATTTGCTGTTGTCTTCAGATTTTAATTCATGCTCATCCCTGAGGACGAGTGGAAGCCAGGTCTCCAGGCAGCTGCAGTGAAGTTTCAGAGCTGTCCATACATGGTATTCTAGAACAGGTATGCAGCTTGAAATTTGCTCACAACCCTGCCTAAAGTGTAGAGGAGAATACACAGGAACTTCTGGTCAGCTTTGGGACATGGCCCTGAGTAAGTGAGGGTATGTTAAGTTCCCACATGTGACCTTAAACTGAAGGAGGATGGGTTAGATTGAATATTGGGAAGAAATTCTTCCCTGTGAGGGTGGTGAGGAACTGGAATGGATATCTCAGAGAAGCTGTGGCTGCCCCATCCCTGGAAGTATTTCACGCCAGTTTGGATGGGGCTTGGAGCAATCTGGTCTAGTGGAAGGTGTCCCTGCCCATGGCATAGGGTGGAATTGGATGAACTTTGAGGTCCCTTCCAACCCAACCCATTCTGGGATTCCATGATTTTACGTCAGTTCTCTGCAGTAAATTTGGGGGGGTGTGTTCTATCTAGGATTGTGTTCTATCTCGTATTTCATCTGTCTGTAAGTCTGGGGGATCTAAAAAGCAAAATATTGAAGTGGAAGCTTTGTGCTTGGCAGGGGAAGTCTCACCTTATTGCTCATGGTTCCTTGAAAGCTCTGCTGCCATGCTGGATCAGCCTAAGGTGGAAGCAGACCTGCAGTTCACTTGCCCAGTAATGAGCAATCATTAATGAACAGGTTCAGAGCAGCATGGAATGCCTTTTCGTGGAAGGTGTTTGCTGGTGGGTCCTTTGACCTCCTGTACTGTGCACTCTGTTGACAGTTTCTGCCTATGCTTACACACTTCTTCTGCAGGTATTCAGATATGAATTTGTAGGTCCCTAAAAGGTCTAAATCTCTGTGGGACAACTGTGAAATTAGTGAAGTAACCTTTGCACATGCAGGCTGTTACCCAAAGCTGCTTTTTTAGAAAGCTCCTGAAGTACTAAGTTCATGGATGCTTTAAGAATCTTCTGCAGCTACTGCTTTATTCCATGCTGACTTTCATCCTCTTTGACTTTCATCCTCTTTATCTCCTGCTGTGCTACTTTTTTCCCAATTTTTTTCCTCCTAAAAATAGGAAATACTCTTCAAGTCCTTCACCTTTGTGCAAACAAAGAAGTAATTTGTTTTAGCATCTAAGCTGAGTTACATGCCTCAGAAAGAAACCAGTGTGACATGAATCTGCTGCTTCTGGAGACTTGGACTCCAAATATAGTCTGAGTAGAGGAAAGAGCTGAAAACATGAATACTTGGTTCTTATCCCACCAGCTCTGCTGCTTTTTCCCAGCAGGATGCATGGCTGGCTGCCTGATTCCCATCTTTATCCCCAAAAATCAGAGCTACAGCTTCAGATGCTCGGAGATTCCAAACCATTATGGAGTCACTGAGTAGTTTGGGCTGGGAGGGCCATGGGTGCACACCTTTCACTGTCCCAGGTTTCTTCACGGCCTGTCCAGCCTGGCCTTGGGCACTGCCAGGGATGCAGGGGCAGCCCCAGCTGCTCTGGGCACCCTGTGCCAGGGCCTGCCCACCCTCACAGGGAAGAATTCCAATTCCCAATATCCCATCCAGCCCGGCCCTCTGGCAGTGGGAGCCATTCCCATGTCCTGTTCCTCCATCCTTGTCCCCAGTCCCTCTGCAGCTCTCCTGGAGCCCCTTCAGGCCCTGCCAGGGCTCTGAGGTCTCAGTTTAAGCCAGACTGGTGGAGCTGGCAGTGTAGCTTGTACCCATATCTCTGGCTGCGGGAAAGCAGAGGTTAATTCTGCTGGTTTTGTGGTTTCCTGCCTCGGCTGTGGATGTGCTGGGATGGAGATGCCTCCAGGCTGGTTGGAGCAAGATAGTGGCAAAGGCTGATGTTGAGTGAGAAATGTCTTTGCTGATGTGCTTCATGACAGAACTGAACAATCTTATTCCTTGTGTGAAGAGATAAGACCTTTTAGGACAAGCAGTCAATCCTCTGGGCAATTCAGGGTGATTAGCTGTGAAACAGTGTGTGGAGTTCCTGTGGCTCAGTAAGTAGGGCATGGAGCGGGGCAGCAGGTTTCCAGAGTTGCTAGTTTTCTTTTTTAACTTGTTGGACCTTAAACTCACCTTACTCCTGGAACACTGCCTGTAAATTCCGTCCAGGGATTTTAGTAGCTGATGATATTGGGTTTGGGAGTAGAAGAGGAGCCTGCCTGGAACCAGGGACAAGCAGATTTAGTATAAATGTGATTTTTGTTGTTACTGTTTCTTCACACAGGAGCAATGTGTCCAGGTTGAGTAGCAAACCTGGCCCTTTAAAAACAAAATACCGAATGTTCTCATTATCTTGCTGCCTTTGTGAGCTGTGGCTGCCAGTGTTAGCTGAGCTGTTGGCTGGACAAAGCTACTCCCAGGCCCTCAGGCTGGTCCTGAGGTGCAGTCCCAGTGTGAACATTTGGATGTTGTCACTGCTGACATCACCACTTTATCTGCTTGGCTCTCCTTTGTCTTGGAAGGGAGCCCTGGCTCTGACTGCTGAAGGTGTCTTTTGTATCCTGAAACAAACAAGAAACCAGAGATATTGGTGGCTTTTTTACAGGTTGGACCCATCCAGCTGTGTGGAACGAGTGGATAACCTTGACTTGCTTAGGCAGAACATGGCTCTTCAGCCCAGCCTGAATTTCCCTCATTTTGTGAGGCAGAGATTTTAAGATTTCAAAAGGATTTACTGTCTGGGTTATGATCAATTTGTATTCCCTGGCACATGAAGAATAACATTTGTAGGAGTTGCTAAATTCCTTGTACCGATCTGTTCAGCCTGAGGGTGCTCAGGCTGTGCAGGTGCTGAGCTGAGC